AGCTGCCAGCGGTCATCTAGGCTAGAGAGTGCAAATTGATGGCCTGCAGTCAGAATTGGCTTCAGATGTGTTTTCTTTGGCCAGCTTGGTGTGGGTCCATAACGTGTTTCTAAATTTTTTGGATTAGTCACCAATATTTTTAAATTTTTGGATTAGTCATCAATATCTCCCTCTTTGCCTTTGAAATATCGAGAATCTGGCCACCCTGGGCTGGTACCCCTCCCAAGACCACAGGGGCCGAAGCCCCTTCCCAGCCCCTTGGGACACATGCTCTGCAGTTTTCCACAGTCAAACCAATGCATTCTCTCTAGTGCACCCCTACCATTGAGACTGCCGCCATTGATCCTCGTCTTAACTGTGGTTTTTGTTTGAGTAAGATTAATGGAGAGTGGATATTCCTTCTGTTGTTGTTGTTGTTTGTTTATTAATCCTCAACCAAAGATATTTTTTTCCCATTGATTTTTTTAGAGAAAAGGGAGGGGAGAGACAGAGAAACATCAATGTGAGAGAGACAAATCGATTGCTTGTCTCCTGCAAGCACCCAAACCAGGGCCAGAGAGGAGCCTGCCAGCAAGGAATGTGCCCTTGACCGGAATCAAACCTGGGACGGGACCCTTCAGTTCGAGGGCTGATGCTTTATCCACTGAGACAAACCAGCTAGAGCGAAAGTAGATATTATTTCCTAAACCTGTTTCTCTGTCCTGATGGAAATGTGAAAGATGGGCCCAGAGGGTGGCACGCGGAAGGAAAAGCAGTGGGAAGTGTACTGTGGAAGGTACCTCTTTGTACTCTGCATGGAAAGGATTTATCTTCAGACGCCTGGACCACTTTGCCCGTTTGTGCTGCCCACCTGGTCCCTGCAGGCCTTTTGCTGTGACCTGTGACCAGAATCACCTGTCTGGTCTGAGAGCTCAGAGACATGCCAACATTTGCTCTTCTAAGAAATTATTCCGGTCCCTGCCAAAGCACTGTGTTCTTTTCGAGAGCTCGCAGGACGAGGGAGTGGGAGCTGGAACTGGGGTAGAGAGGGGTTTTTAATAAGAATTTGTGAGCAACCAAAAATTGAAAAAGAAAAGAATCAAAACCATCAGTTTGTGTATAGTCTCCTAGAAGAACACAGAGTTCCAGCCTTTGCAGCTCTGTGGAAAGAGAGCAGACGGGGTCAAGCCAATTTACTTTCCTGTTCCGATCAGAAAGAAGACGGCACATAAGGGGAAGCAGAGAGAGAATGTGTATGATTCAGAGCACAACTTTGGGGTGTTTTGCATGTGATACTGCTTGTTAGGATTGTAGGAGACAGAGATCAATGGGGCGGCTTCTTACCAGTAAGTATTCGGGGCCTGAGGAGGGCATGAGGGGGTCGTGTTGACCCCAAGATGGCTTTTGGACAGTGGGAGACCTAAGAATGGCCTATGGCCCTTAACTCTCTGGATCCTGTTTCTTCATTCGCTTTCCTTGCTTATCTTATGAGATGGTTCTGAGGATCAAGCAAGACAGCACACGCTGAAGAATTATAAAAGCACGGAGGTCTCCCGGGTACAGATGAGAAGGCAGAAGGAGCTTTGGGATCCTTCTCCACAGCCAGTCCATCAGCTTCTGCTTTTGATTCCATCACCCACCTCTCTCTGAACTTGTCTTCTCTCCACTGCTCTGCCACTTTCCTAGTGCAGGCCCCCACCACCATCCCTGCAGGTGCCTTCTGACCTCTCCCTGCCTCTGTAACCCATTCAACAGACGGCAGGAGAGGGATTGTTACAAATATGTGTGTAACTAATATCCTCTAGTAGCTTTCCATGTAAGGGGGTCCTTGGTCCCAGGGCCTGTATCTCTGTAGCCTGCCCCACCCCTGCTCTCTAGCTTCACCTCATTTCTCAGCCCACCCGTCCTCCTGAGCTCTCCCCACTGCGTTCCTCGGCTTCCCTGGCCCCTTCACCCTTCATGAGGCTTCTGCTCCTTGTTATTTTCCCCTCAGCCTTTACTTCTCCCCTCGACCCGGAGTTCAACCAGGGGGCAGGGCCTGCTGGCCAACTGTCCACAGCGCGCGCACGTGCGCGGCCCCCCCCCCCCCCCCAGGCCCAACTCAATCAGCCAGGCCGGCTGGACCTCACCCGTGCACAAATTTGTGCACCGGGCCTCTAGTATAATATAAAATTTACAGTCTTTGCTATTTCTAAGTGTGCATTTCAGTAGTGTTAAGTACATCCATATTGTTGGACAAAGAATCTTGCAAAACTGAAACTTTGTACCCATTAAACAGCAATTCTCCAGTCCCCTTTTCCCATCCCCTAGCAACCATCATTCTACTTTCTTTTCTTTTTTTAAATTAATCCTCACCTGAGGATATTTTCCCATTGATTTTTAGAGAGCGTGGAAGGGAGCAGGAGAGACAGAAAAAGAGAGAAACGTTGATGTGAGAGAGACTCATCAATTGATTGTCTCCCACACACACTCCAACCAGGGCCGGGATTAAGCCTGCAACCCAAGTACATGCCCTTGACCGGAATTGAACCTGGGACCTTTCAGTCCATGGGCCGACACACTATCCACTGAGCCAAACTGGCTAAGGCCATTCTACTTTCTGTGTCTATGAATTTGACTACTTTAGGAACTGCATATGATGGAATCATGCAGTATTTATCTCTTCATGGCTGGCTTATTTAGCGTAGTATCCTTTAGCTTCATCTGTGCTGTAGTATGTGATAGGATTTCCTTCCTCTTTAATGCTGAGTCATATTCTTTTGTATGTGTAACCACATTTTGTTTCCCATTCATCTGTTGATAGATACTTGGTTGTTCCCACCCTTGGCTGTTGAATAATGCTCTATGAACAACCGTGTGCAAATGTCTCTTCAAGACCCTGATCCCAGTTCTTTTGAGTATATATCCAGTTGCTGGACTGCTGGATCATGTGATAGTTCTGTTTTTAACTTTGAGGCTCCCCCATACTGTTTTCCACAGTGACTGTGCCATTTTATATTCCCACAGACGATGCACAGATTCTAATTTATGCACATCCTTGCCAACACTTGTTACTTTCTATGTTTTTACCCCCACCCCCACTGCTGCATGATGGCCATTCTAATGCATGTGAGGTGGTGTCTCACTGTCGTTTCAGTTTGTGTTTTCCTAGTGATAGTGATGTTGAGCGTCTTTTCGTGTACCTGTTGCCCATTGGTATATCTTATTTAGAGAAGTATCTATTGAAGCCCATTGAATAGACATTTTTAGAGTAACTGCTTGTTTTTGTTGCTCTAGAATTCTTTGGCCTCCGGTTTTTCAGGATAGGACAGTTGGATGTGGCCTACTAGGCCCCAAAAGGGCAGGGTCATGCCCACCTTGCTATTTGCCATCTCCTCAGTGCCCAGCATGGAGCTTTGGACTTGGTACCATGTGCCTGTCTGTAGGTAGCAGGACATTTATTTCAGTCTCCTTGCGGGTCTGTGCATCCTGCGGCCCAGGCAGAGTCTTCTATCCCTATTTCAACAGCTAGCACCGTAGGTCTCTGTGGAAAGGAGCGGGGAGAGGGAAAAGGAAAGTGTGTCTGGTTTCAGAGTTCATGTGCTCCCTGTCCTTGCCATCCCCCTCACCCCTGCCTGCTGTCACAGTCCCCCAGCCCAGGGTATCGGAGGCTGCGGTTGACTCTCAGTGACCTAACGGGCTCTGCTTTGTCTTTTGACTCCCCTGACACACACAACCAGAGACTGCATCCCAGCAGGGCGATGACTCATGCGTGTGACTCAGCGAGAATGCAGCACAGCTGGAAGGGTGGCCAGTGTGTCTGCTGGTGGGAGGGCAGTTACCAAGCAGCAGCCATCCAGGCCCAAGTTCACAAACTCTGGGGGCCCTGCGTCTGCTACTCAGACGTGGGTGTAAGTCCTCTGTCCACAGAGAAAGAGACTGTACTAGCCGAGCTTCAGAAGACTTACTATATCTAGGATTCCAGTTGATTACTATTAAATAATATTTTCATAAACCATTTATTGCATGTTCACCATAGTCATAGTGAACATGCACTGTGATAACCATCTTGCCTGCAAATTATCTCATCTTATTCTCATAACTAGAGGCCCCGGGGAGGGGGGGGGGGGCGGGTTCCTCAGTCCTGTATCCTCTGACAGTCTGGAAGCCCTTGGGGGATATCCAACTGATAGCTTAGGCCCACTCCCTCTGGGCCTAAGCAGACAGTCAGACATCCTTAGCAATGCTGTGAGCCTGGCTTCTGGCTGAGCAGTGCTTTTTCTGTGGGAGTGCACTGACCACCACCCCTGCATTAAGCATCTGCCCCCTGGTGGTCAGTGCCCATCATAGTGACTGGTCGTTCTGCTGTTTGGTTGATTTGCATATTAGCCTTTTATTATATAGGATAGTGTACTTCTCCTAACACAGACAACACAAATAATAGCAAATACATATGTAGCAGATACCATTCTAAGCACTTTGCATTAAGTCATCTAATTCTCACACTAACCTTACGATTCAGAAACTGCTGTTACCTTCATTTTACAGATGAGGAAACTTAGGCACAGAAAGGCCACCCATTAGAGGTGCCCCAGAGTCACGTAGGAAGTAAATGGCAGCTGTGATACCAACTCGGGCTTCTCAGTCCACACTCTGAACCCCTGTGCTGTGCCTCCCTGATGAAGTGTAATACAGTCCTTTCAAGGGGAAGGAACTGCAGCTCAGAGAGGGTGGTCGCTTCCCCGTGGACACACCGCCCGGAGTGATCGCGATGGGCTGTCTCCAGCCCCTGGCTTGTGACCACTGTGCTCTCCTGCCCGGGCTCAGGGGATGGAGCCGTCACACACTGGCATGTGCTTGGTTCCCCTGAGCCCTCCCCGCGGGCACTTTCCCAGGGTCAAGGCCAGAGGTAGGATTCTGGGGAAGAAACTCTTCCTTCGAAAGGAAAGCACTGACGATGCATCCAGGTCTGCTTCCAGTTTTGGGTCCCAGAGCGCTTCCTCGCCCCAAGAATGCTGACGTGGCTCCTCTTCCCTCCTCAGACAGCGAGACGGTGCACTACCACTACGGGCCGAAGGACCTGGTCACAATCCTGTTCTACATCTTCATCGCCATCATCTTGCACGCCGTGGTCCAGGAGTACATTTTAGACGTAAGTGATGCGCCTGGATTCCGAAACCAGAAACGGGGGCGATGCGTGGGCCGCAGGAGCTCACCCGGGAGGAGCTCTGAACCTCGTCACCCCCGGTTTCATGCCCCGGTGGGTCCTGCTTTGGTCTCTGCCCCTCTCACAGGCTTCTTTAGGCAGCACACGAAGCAGCAGTGTTTATTGTGCGGCGGGAACTGCCTGAACTAAGACAGGACAGCGCCCTCGTGATCTGTCCTATAGGCTGGTTGGGTTGCTTTCTTTACACCTAGGCCGCGGATGCTGATCTCGCTGCTTCCTCTAAATATGTAGCACTCTGCACACAGTAGTCCTACACTGAATAACAATGATTACGGCTGGCTTCCAACTTGAACCTTTTTTTGTGTGGGAAGAAGCAGGCATTTGAGAGCTGCCCGTTACCAATACACTTGTATGTTAACATGTGGGATTCTCTTTATTCTTTAGAAAATCAGCAAAAGGCTTCATCTCTCCAAGGTCAAACACAGCAAGTTCAACGAGTCTGGACAGCTGGTTGTCTTTCATCTCAGCTCGGTGATCTGGTGCTTCTACGTGGCGGTGACGGTGAGTGGTCCTCGGCGATTTTCTCCCCGGGGGAAGGAGCTGTGTGGGAAACTTGGGGCTGTTCCTTAGAACGGAAGCTATTTTTCCGTCCTCGTGGTACTGTGAGAGAGGGGCGGAGTGATACAAATGCCATTCTCACAGCTAGAGAGAGTCATCTTGCCCAAGGGGAACACTTGTTGTTGTTATTGAGTGAGGTTACAGTAATGTTACCGTATCTCTGCATGGCCCTGTATCTCTGGACGGCCCTGCATCATGTTACAGGGCGCCCTGCAAAAACAGCCCCACCAGACAAGTTTATGTTCATTGGGGCGCCCGCCGTGTTAAGAATTGCAGAAACCCAAAATCAGGTTCCAGAGCGTGCCCACGGTCATGTGCTTCCGGAGAGCCCGGGATGGGGTTTGGACTCTGGGTCTGGTTCTGAGTCGAGCGTGCTATCCGTTTTACCGCATTGGCCTCCTACAGGCAAGTCCAGCAGCCCCCTGTCCGCACATCAAGTCCTGTGAGGGTCAGGGCCATTCCCACCGAGCCTGGCGGACCGGTTACCCACCTCCCCTTCCAACCAGAGGGCTCTTATTTCAGGCAGCCTTTGATACAGCAGAATTAATTTGAACAAAAGAATGTGGACGTTCCTCTGGGGTTCACTGTAATGAGACCCAGCCTGTCCTGCTAGGAAGTGTTTAATTAGCTTTCCCCACCCCACTTCCCAGCCCGGAGCACCACCTGCCTGCAACCTGGCCGCTTCTCAGGGGCTGAATCGTCCCCGGAGAGACCCAGCAGCCCCGCGGCGTTTTAGATATTTCCTCTGCTGCGTCCTGCTTCCTCTTCTTCCTGCCCCGACAAGGATGAGCACTCACTCACTCACTCCCTGCCGGGCTCTCTGCTCCGGAGAGTCATTCAGTCACAGAACGGTTCTCCTGAACAGAACGCGGGGGACGTGAAATGCGGGACCTGAGACTCCTGTCCTCCTGAGCTGGGCTGTCTTGCGCTCTGTCCAGGGGCGGACTTCCAGGCAGCCGTGTGAGCAGCGCCCCCTGCTGTTGTGCGGCACACATCCGGGCCCCACGAAGTCTAGGTGCTTCTGATTGCAGACCTCCCCCAGCCCCGGTGGTTGGCTCATGCCTGTCTCTGGGGCTCCTGAGCTGCTAGGAGGCAGAACAGCTCGGGGACCACGTGTAACTGGTCTTTCAGCAGCAGCATTGCCTCATCTCCGCGTGAATCACTCGCCCTTTCTGCCTCCCCTGACGCCGCACGGCACAGCTGTGACACATCGAGGCCAGATTGGAGGCCCACAGCCAAGTTACTCAGCACCCTTCCCCGGCGTGACATGCGGCTGCTCTGTCTCTGCTTCCCTGCCTTCACGGGCTTGAAAATGATGATGCTAATTAGTCTGGGAGAATATAGCGCTTGGAGGGGGAAAGCTCATAACAGGCTTTTATTACCGTGACAGACAGCCCGTTCCACACTCAGCATGTCAACAGGAAATGGGGGGGGGGGAACCCTGGACTCCAGTGACTCCACCCCCTGACACCCAACAGCTCCTGGCCCCACCCTCCCTGCCTTTCTCACAGGACAGTGCTGGCTGGGATGAGAGTGGCTGAGGAAGAAGAGAGGGCAGTTTTGTGAAAGGAGAGAAAATAGCTAGTTTCATTTAAAAATCACATTTTTATGTTGTGACACAATCTTTCTGGATTCTTTTCTTTCTTTCACCCTCCACAGATTCCCCCCCCCCCCCCCCCGAACACACTGAGGTCTGTCAGCTGCCCTCCACCTGCGAGTGCACGTGCACACACACACACACACACACACACACACACCCTCACCCTCCCTGGCCAGCGTTCTCTTCAGGGGAGACTCTGCCCCAGGGCATTGTTGGCACCATGCTAGTGTCATCTCGTGGGTACAGGCCAGGGATGCTGCTGAATGTCCTACCGCACACAGGACAGTCCCCACCACGAAGAATGACCCGGTGCCAGATGTCAGTGCCCAGGTTGGGGAGCCCTCCTGTAGTCCCAGCCACCATCATCTCTTGCCTGGACCACCGCACCTCCTCCTCCTAGAAGGAGTCTGTTTTCACGCCTGTACTCTCCTACCCTTTTCTGCTCAGCCAGATGGATCTTTTCAGAATGCAAAGCAAACCATGCATTTTCCTGCTTAAAAGTCCCGTCTTCCTTGCAGGGAAACCGTGTTCTTCCCGACTCCTGTGCTCTGGGCCCTGCCGGCCTTCCCATCTCATCCACTGGTCCCATCTCATCCCACTGGTCCCATCTCATCCACTGGCCCCATCTCATCCCACTGGTCCCATCTCATCTCACTAGTCCCACCTCATCCCACTGCTCTTCCCTGGCTCCTCCATCCCCGCCACCCCTGCTGGCTCCTTTCTGCTGTCAAGTCTCCACCTAACGGCACCTCCTCAGAGACCCCCATTTGTATTTTCTGCACTGCGCCCATTGCTGGGTGTTTTTCTTGTTCATGTCTGTATTCTCTGCTGTCTCTCCCCCTGGACCTCGAGCCGCTCCCTAACTACTGGTTATGAGAATGAATGAACTACAAAATGCATCTTCTTGTTCCAAACGTCAATGGTTTTTATTTTTCCCCCAAGAGGTTTTAAATTAATGGATTATTTTTATAAATATCATAGATGATTACTTAAAAAAAAAAAGTATGCACTACATAAAAGTATGAAAAATGAAATAAAAAAATTACCCTCAAATTTCTCCCTCCAGAAAGAACCAGTTTTATTTCAGTGTTTGACTCAGATGCTTCTTTCTGCATTTATACAGGCAGAGCAATGGGAGCGTGGCTGGGCCACCTGACCGTTTTATAAGAATCTCACCTCCTACTTTTAACTTACCTTTGACCTCCTCTTCATTGGTCAGGGCAAAACACACACACACACACACACACACCCCCCCCCGAGGAAAGCAAGGTGGAAGGGCATCTGGCCGCCCTGCCTGCCTTCCGGGGGATGCCTCACTTCAGGCCCAGCTCTCAGTGCAAACGTGGCAGAGGGAAGACGGTTAGTGCTGGCGCCTGGGTCCGAGCTGGCATTCGCTGAGAGGGGCGCTCTCGCATGTGGCTGTTCCCGAGGACAGATGTTACAAGGAATGTCGAGTCCAGGGAGCTGACTGTGTTGTGCTTGGTCCCACTGTTTCTGTGGTTCTTTTTCACAAGCCAGAAAGGAAGGCTGTGGGAAAGGGAGTGATTGTCCCCGCTTGCTCAGGACTCCCTTAGCTCTCGGTGGGAACCAAAGAGGACGAAGGATTGCAAAAGCTCCCAGACCCTCTGCCTGGGCTGGCAGCGGAGGGCAGTTAGAGGCAACCAGGCTGACAAGGGAGGGAAGTTGGAGTGACAAGGCCTGCAGGGGCGGGCAGTTGGGGGTGACCAGGCCAGCAGGGGGGTGGGCAATTAGGGGCAATCGGGCCAGCAGGGGAGCAGTTAGGTGTTGATATGGCTGGCAGGGGAGTGGTTAGGGACAATCAGGCTGGCGGGCAGGTGAGCGATTGGGCGGGGCTCGGGGTGTGTTGCAGGTGATCCCTCTGCCACCCTCGGCCCCAGGGCTCTCAGTACTTGGATGCCTGAGCTCTGAGGGTGCCCCCCCCTGCCCCCCCCCCCCCCCCCCCCAGCCACATGCAGCTGCCTGGCCAGAGGTCTGGAAAAGGCAGTGAGTCATTGGGTCCCAGGCTCCTCCTGCTCTCCTGCCCCTGCCCCTCCTCCAGTCCCCAGGGACTGGCCATTTGCAAGCAGGCAGCATTTTTCTTTGCTTGTTGGCTTCAAAGTGCTGGCCTCCTTGTCTCCCGAGTGAAGGGGCCAAGCCAAGGAGGATTCCTGTCTAAAACCACATGATCAGCTGGGCTTTCATTCCTCCCAGTGCTGTCTCTCTCGGCCAGACACTCCTCTCCCACCTCACTTCCCTCCTGACATTTCCTCTAGAGAGGAGTGTTCTCGCCTCTGTGATTTCCGTGGAACGAGGTAGAGAGAGTGGGTCCGACGCTGTGGTGAAGGCAGGCGAGTGAACGGCAGGGAGATGGCAGCTGTGTGGGCGTTCCTACCACCCCGAATGCCCAGAACCCCCCACCTCTGTGCCCCAGTCTGTGTGTGACTGAGGAGGAGAGGACGGTGGTCCTGAGAAGAGGCTAGAAATGAAACCATGAGGGTTTGGGGTGAGACCCTTTCCTTCACATCTGCGTTACCATGGCTACACTGGCACATGCACTGGATCAAACATGTCAGTCTGGTCACTGTGCTATTTTTTTTTTTTTTAATTTTATTGATTTTCCACAGAGAGGAAGGAAGAGGGATAGAGGGCTAGAAACGTCGATGAGAGAGAAACATCGACCAGCTGCCTCCTGCACACCGCCTACCGGGGATGTGCCCGCAACCAGTGTACATGCCCTTGACCGGAATCGAACCTGGGACCTTTCAGTCCGCAGACCGACGCTCTATCTACTGAGCCAAACCGGTTTCGGCTGGTCACTGTGCCATTAAGGCCCAGGATGTGGGGCTGGGGCTGAGGAATACTCCCAGGCATTTAGCGCCACAGAGGTGGGTGGATCGGCCCTCACTTGGGAATAAACTGAGGATCCAGTGGACAGGGATGGGGAACCTTTTTTCTGCCAAGGGCCATAACATCATTTAATGCAATTCACTTACTATTATACAAATGTATGTTGCTATGAGAAAAGCTCCTAGATGTGTTGAATTTCGAGTTGTTGTGTGGCACACACAAGGCCTGCAGTTGCCTTGGCGGGGCCGGACCACATGATTTCTCGGTCCTTATATGGCCCACGGGCTGGACGTTCCCCACCCCTGCCCTAGACAGGACGCTGCTGCCTCCTCCTCCTCCTCCTCCTCCTTCTCTTCCTCCTCTTCCTTTTATCTCCTCCTACTCCTCCTCTTTCTCCTCCATTTATGCTTCGACTTACATAGCAGCTGGGCCTGAGGCTCTCTGACCAGGAGGTTGGTGCCCAGCTCAGGTTTTCATTGTGCTACTGAGAAAGCATCTTGTCTCAGGAGATCCTTCCTGCCTGGCCTCCGTTTCCCTGCTTCTGAAATGAAGTGATGCCAACATAGCCCCTCGGCCCTCCTAGTGCACGGCCAGCCCACGTGCTGGTGGCGGATCGGTTCCTCCCTTGCTTTGTGACCTGGGATTATACACGCATCGTCAGCCAGGGTTTATGCATGAGCGTCCTGCACGGCCGTGGATGAGAGGATGCCCCGGTGGTATCCTGGCCCACGGTATTGTTGCTGCTTCCTCAGCCAGGGGGTCTCCGGACCACACAGGTGGTACCGATGTGAACGCCAAACCCCTATGAAAGCAAACCCCGGGTTATGCATTGTCAGGGGGTAATATTTCTGTTCTCAGCTTCTTTCTCTGAGGCTACTGTCCTTTCAGGTCCTAATTTACACCCTAGTGCAAGGTGTCAGGCTCCTCCTCCCAGGCCCCCTTCTGTTCCCACCTGGACAGGAACCCCTTGGCCCCAACCTCGCCTCGCTGCTTGTTCGTTCCACGAGCATTTCCTGAGTGCCACAGTAGTAGGCGCTGCCACATGAACACACGCTGGCCCATTGATTTCTAACAGTAACTCTGGGAGGGTCCGTACTTTTATCCTCATTTTACAGGCGGGGCAGCTAAAGCTCAGGGTCCGGCCTGCTCAGAGGCCAGGGCAGCTAGTGAGAGTCAGGCCCACCTGCAGGGCCAGCCTCCGACCCACAGAGCTCTTCCTGCTCTGGCCAGCAGGACCCCACAGGAGAGGCCCTACGTTTCACGGCCCTGTTCTTTCCTCTCTCTGGCAGCTGGGTGTGCCATGTGCCCCTGACCCCTGACCCCTGGGTGTACCCAGGGCCCCAGCAGGTCTTACCTTCACCTCTCTAAAGGCCATCTCTTCTCGCTTACCGCAGGAAGGATATTTAACAAACCCGAGGAGCCTCTGGGAAGACTACCCACACGTGTACCTCCCGTGAGTATTCTCAAGACTTGGTCTCCAGGGAGGAACCAGCCGGTCCTCTGGCTCCCTCCCCCCAGAATGCGTCCGGAATCGCTCAGAGCCAGCTGGAAGGAGGCCCAACACACTGATCCTGTGAGGGCACAGTCTGGTGGAGGGCCGCCGGTCCGCCGGTCCGCTGGTCCGCTGGCCTGGAGACTCCCACAGTGAAGTGCCGTCTGCACTGGAGTCTCCGCTCGGCTGCTAGCACAGAACACCGTGGACTGGGGCTGGGGGTGGGGGTGGATGAACCACAGAAATGTGCTTCTCAATGGTCTTGCTGGAAGTCCAAGGTCAGGGTGCCCACAGGCCCAGGGTGTGGTGAGGGCCACTTCCTGTTCGTAGATAGCATCTCTCTCCCTGGTCCCCACAAGGCCGGGAGGGGGGGGTGCTTTCTGGGGCCTCTCTCACAGGGACATTAATGCCACTCCCAGGGGCTCTGCCCCATCAGCAAGTCCTCTTCTGAAGGCCCCGCCTCCTAATTCCATCACCCTGGGGTCTAGGGTGTCCGCCTGGACTCTGCGGGGACACAGTTCCATCCACAGCCCGCTCCTAACCCGCGTGGGGCACAGACGCAGGGCAGCTCCATCAGGCTCTCTGGCTTTGACCCCTCACACTCAAGCACCCCTTCCTTCCGGCCGTCCACGGCCGTGCCCTCCCGCCCCGCTCCGATGAGATGCAGGAGGGCAACACGGGCGCGGTCCCAAGGCCCGTTGAATAGCACCGAGTCAGACCCTTTGCTCGTGAGGTCCTTTCCTCCTTAAGTATATCCCTGCCCTCTGCTCCACCGAGCTCTCTAGCGTCAGCTCTTTCCTCCTCCTCCCCTCTCTGGGCTAAGACCCTCCTTCTCTGCAACCTTTTCATCATTTTTGTTTCTTAATTTTTTAAAAAAAATATTCTCACTTGAGGATATGTTTATTGATTTGAGAGAGAGAGAAAGGGGGGGAGAGAGAGACAGACATTGATCAGTTGCCTCCTGACTGGGAATCGAACCCACAGCCTTTTGGTGTGCTAGACGACGCTCCAACCAGCTGAGCCAGTGGCCAGGGCTTATTTTGTTGGTTGTTTTTTTTTTTAAATACGTTTTTATTGATTTCAGATAAGAAGCGAGGGGGGTAGGGAGATAGAAACATCAATGATAAAGAGAATCATTGATCAGCTGCCTCCCGCATGCCCCCTACTGGGGATCGAGCCCACAACCCAGGCACGTGCCCTTGACGTGAATCGAACCTGGGACCCTTCCATCTGTAGTCTGACGCTCTATCTACTAAGCCAAACCAGCTAGGGTGGCCAACACTTGTTTTTGCTTCTTTCTGTGTCCTCAAAGTGGTGCTGTCTGTGGAGCCGGGTCCCCAGGCCCAGGAGCCTGGTGCTCGCTGACCCCCTTCCCTCCCTCGCTCCTGGCCCTTGCCCCTCCCTCCTGTGCTTGTCGGGGTGCAGGGACATTCCCTCCCTCCCTCCCTCCCTCCCTGTGACTCGCTCCCTTGTCTCCAGCTTCCAGGTGAAGTTTTTCTATGTGTGCCAGCTGGCCTACTGGCTGCACGCACTTCCTGAGCTGTACTTCCAGAAGGTACGGAAGGTGAGTCCTCGGTCCCCCACTGAAGCCCTGTGACACACACACACACATACACACTGCTGTACCAGCCATCTCAGTCCCTTCCTGTAGAGCCCAGAGCTGGGTGGTGATGGGAGTGCTGGTGGGCTGAGTAAAATGCTGAGTCAGCACCTGTTAAAGTCCCCCAGGAAGACAGACCTCCCTGAGAGGAGGCCCTCAGCACGTCTCATGCCTGCCTCCCACGCTTACATGTGTGTGGCTGGCGGGGGAGGGGTGGGGGGAGGGGAGATATCTAACTATCATCATCTCTGGATGGCAGCTGGAGAGGTTTATGCCTTTCCCACACTCTTTTTTTTTTTTTCCTTCCTTTTTACATAGCATCCCTCTGAATCATTTCCAAGAACCCTATTCCTTAGTCCCTGTCCCTTCTCTCTCAGCCCAGCCCTGCCCTCTGACTGTGAACCTGAAGCTCGGCCTGGCCCTCAGACTTCGCAGCTGCCGGCCACAGGGTCATGGGCCTCCGCCCGACCTGGGACTGTGTTAAAGCAGCCCAGCCCCAGAGCAGGAGGAGGAAGCCTGGCCTGCCCTCCCCCTCCCCTCTGCATTCCCGCCTCTGCTGTTGATTGGAGAGCCAGCACGCTCACTGCTCACTGCTCACTGTCCGCCTCTCTCGTTCGCAGGAGGAAATCCCCCGCCAGCTCCAGTACATCTGCCTGTACCTGCTCCACATCGCCGGCGCATACCTCCTCAAGTGAGTGAGACCCGCCGGCCGCATCTCCTCACCCCTCAGGCCCTCGTGTTCGCACGCCTCTCCACACACTGCCTCAACGTGACGCCTTCTGTGTGCAGAGCCCTGGGCTAAGGCCTGGGAACACACAGATAGATGGCAGGAGCTCCCGTTGTCTTCAGTGGAGCATCCTCAGTCTCCGAGGAGAGACAGGCAGGAGAGGCACTGTGACGTGTCCTCTGCCACCAGAACCCAGAGAGTGACCGCCCGACCCAGGCCAGCCAGGCAGGGCTCCCAGGGACATCGGCCCCTGGTCCGTGCTCTGCAGGTGGGAGGCAGCGGAGGCGGGCTCTGCCTCAGCACGTCCGGTGGCAGAAGCTGCCAGAGCTCACAGCGCAGAAACCCCTGCCCTTTGGTTTGCCACGAAATGCGGAGTGGCCGCTGGGCTGTTCAGAGGCCGAGAGTTGCTGCAGTGTTTGGTCTGGAGTGTCTCTCGTGAAAAGATTTGTGTTGGGGGACTGGATATGCCATTGCTAGCTTGGGTTGTTCTTGGGTGGGTAGGGGTGCCTACCCCTGGGCTTTGTTTGGCCGGCATTCTGCAAACTTCCTGCTGAGTGACCCAGGGCCCTCCGTGCATCCTCTGAGAAGGGTGGACGTGGGGGAGCAGTCAGAGGAAGGCGGCTCTCAGGCCTGTCCTGTCTTAGGGCCCCGGGTAGTGAGGATTCCTGGCTGGGTCTTGAGGGGCGAAGCCGTGCGGCGGGCCTGGCTCTGCTCTTGTGTTGGATGCTCCCGCGTCACGTGCAGCGTGGGTTTGAGGAAGCCAGTCTGTGCTGTCACCCCCGCAGTGTGTGGCGAGGGCAGGGGGGGCAGGCACAGGCAGGACCCCCTGGGAGAGCTTCCCGCTGCTGGCAGGTCCCTTATTCCTCCCAGAGGTGTGAGGTGCACCAAGGTCCGCTTTTCTCCGCATCTGACACGTCCTGGGGAAGGACAGGGCAGTGTCTGACCCTGTTTGCACAGAGTCCTGCGAATGCTTGTTTTGTAATGAGAATCGGACGGAGAGGACAGGGAGCAGCAGATCCTTCAAATTCGCCCCGACCCCGTTCCCAGGGAAGCTGGCACCGGTTCAAGGTGCAGCCACCTCTCTGCTCATTTAGGGAGCGTGAGCTCCTTCCGCCTCCGCCCTTGTTCTGGTTTCTGAAGTGAATCCAGGGAAAGGAGTGGGCCTCGGCTGCAGGGTTTCTCAGGGAGACAGACCTTTGAGATGCTGGCTGGTGTGGGGTCTCGTTTTGGTAAAGAGCCTGGCTTTTGCAGGCCTTCACTCACCCAACACCGGCCTCCTGTGGGCAGGCGCTGCCTCAGGAGCTGAGTTGCATCGGGACAAAGGAGACAGCCCCTGCTCCCCTGGGGTGTCCATTTGGCGGGAGGCAGACCATCAACAAGGACATGAGGGCACAGGGTTTCCCATGGCCGTGTGTGCGCTGGAGGAACTAAAGCAGGGCCTGTAACATCGTGTGCTCCGGGCACTGCGGTGTGGGGAGGGAGAGCCTCCGAGCAGGTAGCTCCGGCTGAGGCAGGAGTGACAGAGCCAGGTACGTGGAGATCCGGGGAGGGCTGTGCAGGCGGAGGGGACGGCAGGTGCACGGCCCTGAGTGGGAGGTCACGGGCAGGATCGTGTTGGACTTTCCAGGCCACAGGAAGACACCGGGGCGTTTTCACGTCGTTCTCTCGACCATCCTCAGGAGGCAGAGACCTTCGTGGTGATTTTGTACTTTGGTCTCGGTGGGTGGAATCGGACGGACCCTTATTTATGGCCGCCTGTGGGAGGGCTCATGCCTTCCTGCTGTTCAGCAGGGGCGGAGCTTTCACTCGCATTTGGGCGACAGCTGACCTTCTGCAGCAGGCTGCCCGGTGGCAGTGTCATGCCTGGAATCGAGCAGAGGGGTGTCTCGGGTGCTGTTGGTTTTTGGTTTTTTTTTTTAAATATGTTTTTATTGGTTTTTAAAGAGACAGAAAGAGGAAGAGAGAGGGTGAGAGAGAGAGAGAAACATCAGTGGTGAAAGAGAATCATGATCGACTGCCTCCTGCACGCCCCACACTGGGGATCGAGGCCACCACCTGGGCGTGCGCCCTGGCCAGGAATCGAGCTGTGACCTGGTTCACGGGCGGGCAGTCGCCCACTGAGCCATGCGGCCGGGCGGCGGTGCTGTTTTTTAAGAGTTTGGTTCACAGCATAGGTTTCTGCATTCGGTTTGAGTTTTGCTTCTTGGAGAGCCTGTTAGCTGTGGAGACGGGGTAATGGGAAATTAGGCGGTAGGAATCCCTGGTTCTCCTTGCAGAGCTCAGCATCTTGTTCCGAGCAGCTTTGGGAGTGAGGTCCCCGGCCAGGTGATGAGCGCGAGGGGACGAGCCCTGAGAAGGGCCTCAGCCGGTCGCCGTGGGAGCGGGCAGGGGTGCCTGCCGCAGACAGCAGGCCAGAGGCCGGGGTTCAGTGTTAGGAAAATTCCCCGGGAGTGACAGCGGAGCTGAGTCCTGAAGATGCGGCGGGCCGGCCAGGGAAGGGGGAGTGGGGAGCAGAGCCGGGCCGGCCTCACCTCTGCTCACTGTGGGTCTTGGGGGGACTGAGAGGCTTGTCTCTCCCTCCCCAGCCTGAGCCGCCTGGGCCTGATCTTGCTGCTGCTGCAGTACTCCACCGAGTTCCTCTTCCACATGGCCCGGCTCTTCTACTTCGCCGATGAGAACAACGAGAAGCTGTAAGTGAGGCTGGGAGGCCAGCCCACGCGGAGGGTCAGAGGGCACAGAGGGTCCTGTCCCGGGTGTCAGCTCTCCCCTGTGCTGCAGGCAGCACCCTCAGGTGCTCTGTTGTCCTGGAGCATTTTATTCCAGATACCTCCTCCCTCTGCCACCTTGCACCTTCTTCCACTTGGGTTCCTCCTGGAGAAGGGGGCGAAGGCTCCCTCATGGCCCTAAGGCTGCCGCCCTTCCCCACCTCTGCGCGCAGGTTTAACGCCTGGGCTGCTGTGTTTGGGGTCACCCGCCTCTTCATCCTCACTCTCGCCGTGCTGGCCATCGGCTTTGGACTTGCCCGCATGGAAAACCAAGCTTTTGACCCCGAGAAAGGGAACTTCAACAACTTGCTTTGCAGGTGAGTCGGGCATAGGGGCGCGGCGGTAAGCCAGGGCTCCCTGAGAGCGGCCCGGAGCCTCCTGGACTTGGCACAGCTCCTCGGAGGGTCAGGAGGCCGCACACCCCCGCGTCCCCTGCGTGTTGACGTTGATGGAAATCTCTGGGCGTTAGGCCGTCCTGGCTTCCTGGCCCACAAAGACTGCCAGGGCCTCAATCCACGGGGGAGCCCCGTCCCCTTTATGGTGCTCAGGAGGGTTCTCACCCAGCCCCGCGGACACTTCACAGCTGAGTTCTCCTCAGGTTGGCAGTGGCAGCCAGGAGGCTACGGTTTCCGGGAGATGCTTGGGCCCGGGAGGGTGTGTGCTTGATCTAGGGCTGCACAGCTTTTAAGTTTCCTGCTAGATAAACCACACTGGGATTATTTCTGCTGTGCCCTAATTCATGTGACTTCTCCCAGTTTATATGGAGCTGAATGAGCTGTGTTCTGTGCTGTGGGTACAGAAGGGACAGGGTGACTGTGTGACTGCCGCTGCCTCCTTCCCCGCCTCCCTGGCTCTGTGCATCCATCCCCACCCCTGAGGGTGTTAAGCAGGAGCCCTGTGCCCTCCAGGGGGTGGGAACCTGCCGGGCTGAGGCGATCGATGGGCCGCAGAATCGGCAGGGTTCCAGGCCTCCGGAGTCCCTGCCCTGGGCTGTGGGCCCAGCCCCTGAGCCGCTCTGCCCCTCTGCAGGCTCTGCGTGCTGCTGCTGGTGTGTGCTGCCCAGGCCTGGCTCATGTGGCGCTTCATCCACTCCCAGCTGCGGCACTGGCGGGAGTACTGGAACGAGCAGAGCGCCAAGCGGAGAGTCCCCGCCCCCGCCCCCGCCCCCCGGCTGCCAGCCAGGCTCATCAAGAGGGAATCTGGTACGTGCCAGGCGGTGGGCAGGAGAGGCGGAGACCGTCTGGGGCGGGTAGGAAGGAGTCGGGGTCCTGGGCTCTACCCAGACCAGTCCTTCGGCCCACCCTCCGTCTGGACCCCTCCCTGGGCCTGGGGCCTCTGGGCTCGGGCTGTGGCTGGCACGTGGCTGGGTGTGGGCCAGGGACAGGCCGCGGGTGGGGCTGGCCCTGACTCGGCGCGAACCCTCTGGCAGTGGCGGGGCAGGGCGTGCTGGGTGGGGAACTCTGGCACGAAGCATGTCCTCAGGGTGGCTTCTGGGCGCCAGCCAATCTCTGCGCCTGCTCTGTTCGGCCCGGCTCCTCTGTCCTCACCTGCCCTCTGCTCTGGTCGTGGCCGCCAGGCTGCTGGCTCCTCTCCGTCTTCGGGAATGACTCGAGATGGCACAGTACAAGGTGGGCAGGGGAGGGATACCCACTTCTCCGTGGGCCCTGCCCCTTCAGTGCCCGCCCGCCCGCCCCCTCTGGGCCTGGGGCACGGCCAGCTCTGCACTCTCCGACAGCCTGAGGCCCGTCTGCACCAGGATGTGTTCTGACTCACTCGCCTTCTCCAGGTGTGGCCTGCCTGGCACGGGCTCGTGTGTTAGAACCGACACGTGTGCGCTGGGCGTGCCGGGAGCCAGGCTGGCTGGGTGGGATGGGCTGGAGGCGGCAGCCAGATGTGCCTCTTGGACTTGGAGCAAGCACACGGACCTGCTTTGGACAACAATGAAAAAACCTTCCTTTTCTGCCCTAATTTTTCTGCCAGAGGAGTGTCGGGCATCTGAGTAAGACCTCGTCCCTGCAGCCCCTCCGCCCCCTCCCCTCTGGCCTCCCTTATCCCCGGAGTGGATGCTGATGTGGGTGGCTGCCCTGCAGGGGCCAGAAAGAAGCAGGACCCTGACGGTGGCGCAGTGATTCCAGGTCCTCGGTGACTGTGTCAGAGACCTCCCATAGGCAGAGACCCGCCGCCTCGAACCGAGCCTTAGTAGCAAGCCCCTCGGGAGAGCAGGGACCCGGGCATCTGCTGGGTCCTCACAGCTCATCGTGGGGCGGCAGCTGGGCTGGGCTGCCTGGGCCCGCCCTCTGCGCCAGGCCCAGCAGAAACGCCATGTCTGTCTGTCTGTCTCTCCTTACTTCCTAGGTTACCACGAAAACGGAGTGGTGAAGGCCGAGAATGGAACCTCCCCACGGACTAAGAAACTCAAGTCTCCTTAAGGCCAAAGTGCTGGGCACAGGAACGCTCTGTCACTGCCACCCCTTCCTGCCCCTGTCGCTCCCATCAAACAGCAGGAACCTGTCTTTAAACGGGGCTGCCCCTCCTCCTTTCTTCTTGGCTTTCTCTTCCTCTCCCCCACACCATTCTCAGTAAAACCAAAAATCTCCCGCTCCCTCCCCGGCCACGCCGTGGCTGCAGCTCTGCGCTCTGCGGGGCGTTCTGGACGCCCCGGTTCTCACGCTAGCTTTCTGCTGGCCACCTCTCCTCCTACACCGCTGCTGCTTTCTGCTTTTCCTTCTTGGACCGTCTTGTGCAATTTTTCTGTGTCTTGACTTTTGACCATAAGGGGGAGCGAGGTCCTAGTCCTGACCGTGCGACCCCGGTGTGGGCCCGGGGCCTGTCGAAGTGCAGAAGCCGGCCGGCAGCGGCCCCCGAGGTCCCGTGTGGCCGGGCAGGAAGAGGGAGACGGCCTCTCGGATCGCAGGCTCCCAGGTGCTGATTGACTGACGAGGTGTGACTGCAGCTCTGTGCACCGCCTCGAGGCCCCGCCGTGCCGCTGCTCCTGGTAAACGCCAAGGCGTCTGGCTCGGGGACCTGACGACTGGGCCCAGGAGGATGGTATGACTGTGTCGGTCCCCCCGACGAGACGGCTTGCCCGTGGCGGGTCCTGCGTTGGAAACCGGCCTGCCTCGCCCGGCCGGGGAAGCACTGCTGCAGGACAAGGCTTCCCCCTCCAGAGCCAGAGCGCGTGGGCTGAGCGGCAGGCTCTTCCGGAAAGTGACGGCGGAGTCAACCCTGGCCTTTCTTCAGCAGCCCCGGCTGCACTGCTTTTTCAACCGTTCACCAGCATTCAAAACCAAATCTGACAGCCTTGAGACCAGCCGGGCCTGTGCTGGTCTAAACCCCAGACCCAGGCAGCCCTGATGTCCTCTTTCTACCCACAGGCCACCAAGCCCCTGCTGGCCCCGGGCTGGGAGGGTCACCTGTGCCATTCTCGCCAGGCCTCCCTTGTTGTTCTGTGGCTTTGGCACGGTCGTGTGCTGATGCTTGTTGAGCACACCTGCAGTGCTTTAGGTGGTGTGCAACCAGGACAGGCTGCTCGGTGAGCAGCACAGCTGTGCCGAGCTTTCTGCCCTGTCCCTCACATAGTCTGTCCCCTCTCCCCAGGCAAGGCCCCCGTGTCCTGATGGGCCTGCGGGGCTCCCACAGAAGGCTGAGGCCCCCAGAGGGCCTGCTTAAGAACTCCTGAGCTCTGGGGTGCCGGGAGCGGGTCTTGGTGGCACAGGAATGTCAGTGTCGTTGGATGGGCTGGTTCCTTCTCTGGCGTCACAGTAGAAGCCAAGCCTCGGCTTATCATCCAAAGGGGAGAGATGGGTCTTTTCGTCGAGGCCACAACCCTTCTGGCATCACTTGCATCAGAGATAGTTTTAATTTCCCAGAGAACGAGGGGTCTGTTTCCTACGACCTGTGGGCCCTCATCTCTGTCAGATGGCTGAAAAGGAGCAGCCCCCGCCCCCCCCGGCTTCTGGTTACTCTTAGGGAGTGGACATTGTTTTAGAAAATAGGCGTCTCTCCCATCCTTCTCTGACCATCTTGGGCTGCAAAGCAGAACCTGGGGAAAGGGTGGCCTGGTGGCTGCTGATGGCCGGTGTTCGGCCAGCAGCCTCCTGCACCTGCCCCAGCAGCCAGGCACCACGAGGAGGTCCCCGGCCACGTGTTCCTGCTCCAGGCTGCGTCCGCAGCTGAGCACCATTCAGCTGTGGAGCCGGGCCTCCAGCAGATGCACGTGTGCTTGGGCTGGGGCGGTGCTGAGAGCAGGCATGTCCCGCCCACAGCAGCCTCTCGGGACCTGTTCTCAGCGTGCGTGCGTGTTCCCCAAGGTGTTCTCAGTGTGCTGTGCGCAGTGCCTCCGAGGTGAGTCCACCACCTTCGTGACCCGGCAGCTCTGGCTCCGTTTCCTAAGGCGCAGTGATGGGAGTCAGATCTTCTCTGCCCCCCAAACCCGAGTCAAGGCAGGCTAGCATCTCACCAGCCGGGCTTCACGAGCAATTTGAGTGGGTATAAGGGTCATTGGGGGGGGCTTTGTCACCCCACTGGTCCCTGGCACATTCCTGTTAGAGCAGAGCCCCGTCTTTGGCAGTTGGCTCAAACCATGTTGCCGGGGACTGAAACAACTCGGTCCCACCACATCCCATGAGCTCGCTAGGCTGGCTCGTCCTGATCTGGCAACTTTGGTTCTTCTTTCCGACGTAAACACCCTCTTCTGGTCCCAGCGTACCACACCCTCTGTCAGACACCCCACGTTGGGGAGACCAGCTCCGCACCACCCACCAGAGCAGGAGGGCACAGGCCAATCTACCTCAGCAGCCGCGGCCCCTCCACCTCTGGGTGGCCCCATGAGGTGGAGGCGGCCCCCAGGCAGCGGGGGCAGGAGAGAGCAGGGAGGCCGTGCTGGAGGGCTGGAGGGTCCTTGCTGCCATTCCCCTCCTTGGAGCTCGGTGATGGGAGAGCTATTTTTACCACCCAGGCTCTGGAGCTGCACTATTAATAAGTTGCATGTGTCCCTGCTGCAGGTGGGGGCAGTCCTTGGGGGGGGGGGGGGCGTGGCTGTTGCTCCCTTCTAGTCTGCTCTAACCCTGAGTGTCTGGGCCACCAGAGAGAGTGGTTGCCCAGAGAACCTTTCCCATTTGTCTGAAGTCAGAACTTACCACATTTCAGAAACCAAAACAGTTCATCTGTGCTACAGCCTCTGCAGATGCAGCCCCTCGGGCCTGGAGCCCGGGGTGCTGTTCCAGGGCGTGCTGCTGGGCTGTCTTGAGGGACCTTCCTCCGTTCCTTTGGCCTTTGGCTAAGTGGTGAATGAGGGGGGTCAGAGCATCCCCTCCCAAGAGGCCTGTGTAATTGGAGGTGGCTGGTGTGGGGCTGGGGGCTGGTTTGGATTTCTTTTGCAGCTTCAGCCTGTCCTGGTGGTTTCCCGGGCCTGGTGAGAGGGCAGGGAGGCCAGGGTGTGACTCCCTCCCTGCCTAAGACCTAGGCTGTGATCAGACGCCCATGCCTGTTCTTCACAGGCTCCCGCTGTTTCTTGGAGAGGGTGTTAAGAGTCAGACAATTGTGTGGTCCCTCCCTCTCCTGCCCTCCCAGCTCACAGCCCCATCTGTGAGGAGGCAAATTTGGGCACGACTACAGATGAGGGTCATTGTGGGATGCCTTGGAGCCTAAATAGAATCCCTTTCCCACCTGGGTTGGCCTGTGAGGAAGGCTTTGCCAACTTCTCACTCTTTAACCCCCGTTTTTGTGAAGATTAATTCCTCCCCAAAGGCCGACGAGGACCTACTTGCTGCCTCGTGTCCCCACACCCCACACCCCACAGCCTTTCTACGGAGGCCTCAGAAAGGCGCTGGGCCCACTGGCTCCAGGGAGCCTGTTGGGCCGCCCATGTGAGTTTGTCCTTAGCAGATTGCTGTTTCTGTAAGAAGTGCCTTATCTGCCGTGTGGTCCCGGCCTCGCCTGCACTGTATGGCCTGGGCGCAGGCCGGCTGTCAGGAGCACCCGGGACACTGGCCCGGTGCAGTCACATGTAAAAGGGATGCTGATTGTGAGTTTGCCTCCTTTGTCTCAGCCTCCCCTGCTTCATTGTGTTAGGACCTGGGATCTATTCCGTTTTGTTTGCGGTTTCTCCCTGGAGTTGGTTTTCAGGCCTGGGTGGCTGGAAGTCAGGGAAGGCCCACTGCAGGCACCTGTGCCTCCCACCTGTTCATACCCGTTAAGAGAAGCTCAGAGGGCCAGGGGCACTAAGCCCATGTATGTCTTTGGCCCCAACATGGTAAGACCAGCTCTTCCAGTCTGTGTCTCCTGTCACCCTCCCATCCCCCCACAGATTATAAAGAAAGGTACCCTTGCTAAAACCTCTTCTGATCTTTTTGCTTCCCACTCAACCCAAAGTGTATCTGACAAAGGTGTTTACTTTGCAGTCAAGACGGTTAACTCACACATCCCCGTTGGAAAATGGGTCTAGGTCAGCTGTTGCAGAACTTCTTCCAGCTTCCAATTCAGTGTTACCTTGTGTTAGCAGCTACCCTCCCCCCCAAGACTGCCTGCCTTTCCCTTGCTCTTCCGGGTTGTGCAATAACCCTCCCAGCCAGTGGTCGGTCCACAGGCCTTGCTGTCCCTTACTGTGCCCTGCGATGGGGAAGGGAAGGGGCCCATGGGAGGGGCAGTCGTCACCCCCTACAGAAGAACTGTTAGCCACTTCCCCTTTGTGCTGTCATTCTCGTGATCCTGGGTGGGTTTCTGTGGCACTCTAGTAGAACATTGTAGCGTCATCTTAGAAGTCCATAGAATGTTTGTACAATCTGTTGAAAAGGAAAAAAACTATCCTCATGAAGGGGCATTAATAAGTCAGTGTCCGAGAATAAGATCTGGGACACGGAGGTGTGACCATCCCTCTGCCGGAAGCTTCGAGTTTCTTGTTCATGCAGAGATTTTCTGAGTCGGCCACGGCTGGACAGCCCTGTTCACCCAGTAGGCTCCACCTGTGCTTGGAAGTGCCACCACTTCCTTGGGTACAGATTCAAGTGTTTATGGGTGAGATTAAACCTCATTTTTCAGTTCCTCTTGTTTAATAAACATCTGAAGGATAAGCAGAGACTGCTGGTGCCCTGGGCAACTCATAATGCAAATGTGGACAAAAAGTGTCTTTTTGTTTTTCTACTTTAGCCAGTTCATGTTCATGTTATGGACCAAATTTCAGCAAGGAACTCAAGGAAATTTTGTGCCTGCCGTATTTATGCTCATGTAAAAGGTTCTAGTTTGTGTTTTTGATTGTGTGTGTTTTTTTTTCTGTTGTTTTTTTCTTTTTTGGGGGGTGGGTTACTTTCAGTGAACTTTTTTCAAAATCCTTTTTTCACTGTTTCTGTCTGGTATGAAAACAAATTACAATTTTGTATGGATTTTTTAAATGTACATTTTGAAACAAATGATCAGCAAATATTTTTGAAATAACTGAATAAAAAGGCATAGAATTATCAGTCTAATTGTCTCTGGTACAATTCCTTATATTGCTTTTTGATCAGGAAGCTTACCTTTGCTTTTACTTGAAAAAAAATGATTGTGTCTATTTTAGTCTAATTTCTAATAGTATTCACTCTATTAGCCATTTCTTGATACGGTTGGTTGTTGTGCTCACATGAATTAGGGAATTGAAAGTAAGGAAGAAGAATTATATTGAGTAACGGGCATCATTTTTATTTGTGTCTATTAGCAGTAAGGAGTGGAAAGGAGTGGTCCTGATGTGGGTTTGTGGGCTGGAAGCCTCACAGAGGAAAGTACACCGAGCTTGATGTCTACTGTGTTATGAAGTCGTTTGGCTGGGAGAAGACAGGATTAAGTAAAAGCCACCCAATATTTGTCCTGGTAATGAATACACGTTCAAGTATTTGTGATCATGTGGGCAGTGGGGATTGCTGGTGTCTGGTAGGTAGTTTACTGCCTGCAGCTGTGTGTGTGTTTTCCAGACAATCCTCAGAGAGAGCTCAGGACATGAGTGCAGTTACAGGTGGCCGTTAGCCAAGGACACCCACAGGGAATGAGGAATAAACAGGAAACCTTTACCTGAGGTGCAGGAGAGAGGTACTGGTGGAGGGCAAGCTTTGGTGCAGACTCAGGTTGCAGTCCTGCTCTGCCATGAGAAGCTAGGTGACCTCCAGCTTCTGGTGTCTATGAACCAGGTAGAGCAGTGGTTCTCCACCTTCCTAATGCCATGACCCTTTAATATAGTTCCTCATGTTGTGGTGACCCCCAACCATAAAATTATTTTCCTTGCTACTTCATAGCTGTAATTTTGCTACTGTTATGAATCATAATGCAAATATATGAGGAGTCAAAGGGGCCGAGACCCACAGGTTGAGAACCGCTGAGGTAGAGGAAGGGATTCAGAGTCTGAGACTGCAGATCTGACAGTAGAGCGGTGAAGACTTTCGGGGTGGGGGGGGGGGGGGAGTCAGGGCAGTGGAGCGGAAATGCAGGTAACTTTTCTGAGCTATTTGCTCACTGTGCTCTACAGTTTTGGGGTTGGTTGGTTTGCTTGCTTATTTTTGCAGGGAGTGGGAGTGGTAAGATTAAGGGACAATGAATGCTAAGTCCATGTTATTCAATAAATGAATATTTTTTAATGAACATACGTGCCAGCAGAATATTCAGGAGTTACTCATCCAAGTGACCCTTGATTCTTGAAATGTTTAGAAGCGTCTTCTTAACCAGCTAGTCCCAGAAACTCTCCAAACCTATACATGAATTTGACACATTCGTGTACACCCTTAATGAGATGATATTTTCAAGGCCCACTGGTAGTATAAAGTATAGGCCTAGGGCCTGAGCAGTGGTAACTCACAAACCAATATTCATACAAAGGCAGATTTTACTAGCCCTAAATCTGTAAGCCACCCACCATCTCGCCAAAAGATGTGGTGTATTTCCCTGTAATCCTGGGGCAAGCAGGCAAGTGGGGAGCAGGTATTGGCTGAGCAGCAATACCAGTGCTGTGTGCTTATTTCCAAAACCCCAAATGATGCTTCTTCTAGAAAATTCTATCTTTTCTTCTGCTCTCACTCATTGTACACCTATATTAGTCAAGTCCCTAAAGAAACAAAAACAATGGGATCTATAGAGAGAAAATAAGATTTATTATAGGGAATGGTTCACGTAATTACAGACTTTGACTAGTTGGCCAACGAGGATACCGTGAGAGCTGACGGTGTGGTTCCAGTCTGAAGGCCAGCAGGCTTGAGACCCAGGAAGAGCTAATGTTTGAGTCAGAAGACAGGAGAACACTGATGTTGCAGTTTGAAGACAGGCAGGGAGAATTCACTCTTACTTGGGGAAGGTCAGCCTTTTTGTTCTATTTAGGCCTTTAGTGAGTTGGAAGAGGCCCACCCACTCTAGGAGGGCAGCCTGCTTTACTCAGTCCACCAACTCAAATGTTCACCCCACTCAGACATCCAGGAATAACATTTAACCAAATATCTAGGTTCCCTAAGGCCCAGTCAACACAACACATAAAGTTAACTATCACAACACCCCCATCTCTACCTTCCTCAAAAAGGCACCCACCTTAGTTCTTACAAGATACAAACTAACTTAGACTTCAGAAGAAGTGAAATATAAGAAACAGAAGAGAAAGGAATATACTTTCAAGGGCTTGATATACTTTCAAGCCTCTACAAAGAGTACAAGGTATATTTCAAAGTGTAGGTCCAACCTCAAAACACGATTGCATCCTCTCAGCCAGGTCAGTCTGAGAAAGCCCGGACAAAGTTGTAGTAGTTGATCTTGTCGTCTCCGTGAGAGCACAGCCTGATTAACTGCAGGGGTGACAGAGAGCAGGTGGGACAGACGTGAGGGCTGCCTGCTGCGTGACTGCAGGGCCCTATCAACACTGACCCCACCTTTGCAAACCAGTGCAGTTTGATACCCTCAGTTGGTTCTGAAGTGATCCTGTGAACCCAGTACATAGGTTGGATATTACCCCCCCCACCCCCCACAGTTAATAAAATCAAACCTCAGATGCAGTAAATGGCCTGGCCAAGATTTCAGAACAATATTTGCATTTTTAAGGGCACTATCACTTTCAATTATTTTTTTAAAGTAATTTTTATTGTTCTTATATTTAAAGACAAGACTTTGTCCACCCAGTCTGTGCAGAGTAAGACTCAAAATAGTGAGTTGCTGTTATTGCAGTCTAATAGAAAAACCTAGTTATGCCACTGCCCAAACCATGTCCCCTGAAATTCAGTTGTGAGTGGCAGTAGACTGACTTGGTTCCCTTCATAAGACACATGCAAATCCACCCCACCCACCTTCCCTGTCCCACTCCAACTGACTGTAATTCATCTTTCTCATGTCAGCTCACACATAATGCACATGACTTAAAATCTGGGATGCTGTCAATCTGAGCTTTGGGAAGCTAAATGGGCACTGGCCCATGTGAACAAATACCCTTCTTCCTGCCACCCCCACTCCTAGCTAATGTCCTGCCTACAAAATATCGTCTCCAGCCTAAGCAAAAGCCCTCCCCAAGTGAATTTTACCTGTGAACATTCCTTTATGCTAAAAGATCTTTAAAATCTACAGCAGTGGTCGGCAAACTACGGCTCACAAGCCACGGTTTGCCGCCCTATTGACTGAGTTTGCTGACCACTGGCACAGCATCTCAATCTTCTTAATCAATGAGAATGTCTCAATAAGTCACAGTCATTGGCAAGGTGGGGAAAATCCTGACTTCTAGGGGAATCCTGGCTAAAGGGGTCTATAATGGGGAAAAGGCATGAAAGGCTTTCTTCAACTCATGAAAATTCTAGGAGGAGATGTCTATGTTGCCATGGGGCTCCTGTTGACAGGCCACTTCATGCCTTCTTCCATGCTAGTCCTCCAGATGGGCTAACGTACTTATTGCTGTGAAGGATGTCACAGGCTTCCCACCAACCTACTCAGTCCAGTGTCTGTGAGTTGCCCTGGGTGGCTGCCCCCTAGGAACACCTCTGCTGCCCTCCTTCAGCCCTGACATGTCTTATTAGCCTCTCTGTGCTGCCTAGCCCCACACCACTTAAAGATACCTTGCAACAGCAATGAGAACAGAAAGCCAATGAATCGAGGAAAAACCATAATCAGGACTGAACAGGAGATCTGACTTGAACATCCTAGATCTTCCCCAATTAACACAAAATACATAGGCAGTTGTCTTTAGGAGAGAATGAATGGTGCACGGCCTTGCAATTACCTGGAAAAAGAACTCATACTGACCTCCTTAGTCAAGGAATCGTCAATTGGGACGTTAAGAGTGCTACAGATTTTAAAGAACTCCTCTTTGTCCACGTATCCTGTCGCTTCCTTGTCATAAAGTTGGAATGCCTCTTGAATGTTGTCTCTACAGGGATGATCTTTCACTTGCTTCTGGATGCTGCCTATTAATGCTTCAAGTTCCTGCATACTTGGATCCACTCCCGTTGGTGTTCTGTGGAGAAAGGAAGGAAATGATGGGCAATGGAATTTACTCTTGGCTACTCTTATCTTAGTGACCAAGAACTTAGTGACCACTTAGTTCTCACTTGGTGCAGTCCGGGAAGCTTCTAATGACAAACAGCTTCAACATAGAGCTGACCGATCGCTCAACACTAGCCCACAGTGGCTGGCTGCTGGGTGACCTCTGCTTCAGGACAGCCTACGAGGGGCAGCGTCTGCACTGAAGCTCAGCCTCCCTGGCTGCCGCTGTCAGAGCCAAATCTAACACCACTACCATCCTAAGTGCCTTGTTTGTGGGAGTCGCATGATCTACTTCATCCACATGACATCATCTAAAAATAAAGTTCTGAGTTTTAAAAATATTTCTCTATTACTATGCAGTCAGGGGTCTCTTGTACTTGAACACTCTCTCTCCAATTCACTCTTGAGTTTTGAGCAAGGTTATCTCTGAAAGCTAAGAGACTGCTCTGTGTGATGGATCGAGAAGTTCGGGATTAGCATGTCCTGAAATGAAGAGAGACCAGTAGCCCAGAACGTTAGGAAAAAAGGTCTATCCTTTCAAATCACAGCCAGGATAAGCAGAGCCAGATTTTTATTTCCTTTGAACATGATGGTACAGTTATAAAATTAGCAGAAGGAAGCAAATAGTAAAATCAAAGCATAAATAAATGAAATAGAGATTAGAAAAATGATAGTAAAGAGCAATAAAACTAAGAGGTCTTATCTTTTATTTTTCTTAAGATAACTAAAACTGACATACTTTTAGCTACAGTAATTAAGAAAAAAGAGAAGATTCAAAAATGAAAGAGGGAACATTATAACTGATAGCCACGTAAATACAAAGGATCTTAAAAGACTACTATGAACAATCATACATCAACAAATGGATAACCTGAAAGAAATGGATAAATTCCTAGAAATAAACCAAACAAAAAATTCCTAGAAACATACAACTTACAGGGATTGAATCATCAAGAAATAGGAAATCTGAATAAACCATAACAAGTAGGAGATTGAATCAGTAACCAAAAATCTCCCAAAAAAGAAAAATCCAGTACCAAATGTTTTCACTGGTGAATTCTACCAACATTTTAAAAAGAATTAATAGCAATCCTTCTCAAACTCTTCCAAAAAAAGTGAAGTGGAGGGAACATTCTTAAATTCACAATACAAGGCCATTATTACCTCGATACTAAAGAAAAACAAAGATGCTACAAGAAAAGAAAATTCAGGCCAGTATCCCTGGTGAACACAGATGTAAATATCCTCAATAAAAAATATTAGCAAACAGTATTAAACAATACACTATGATGAGTAGGATTTATCCTTTGTATCAAGGATGGTTCAACATACACAAATCAATAAATGTAATATATCACATTAATAGAATATAGGGTAAAAGCATAATTATCACAATAGATACATAAAAAGCACTTGACAAAACCTAACATCTTTTCATGATAAAAGCTCTCAACAAATTAGGTATAGAAGGAATAGAGCTCAACCTTATAAAGGCTATGTATGACAAGCCCATAGCTAACATCATTCCTCATAGTGAACAAGATAAGGATGCCCACTGTCACCACCTCTAGTCAACACAGACCTAGCCAGAGCAATTGGGCAAAAAAAGAAATAAAAGATATCTAAATAGGAAAGGAAAAAGTAAAACTATCTGTTTGCAGATGACATGATCTTATATGTAGAAAACCTAAAGATGCCCCTAAAAAAACCTGTTAGAACTAGTCAACATATTCAATAAACTTCCAGGATACAAAAATCAATGTACAT